CTTGCGGAAAGGTAAACGCACTTGTACCCTTCATCCTATTGCTAATTATGTTTCACTCACTCACCTTTCTGCTTCCCATCGCTAGTTTATCTCTTTGTTATCCTCTGTTATTGTCCCTAAGGATGTCTAGGAAGCCCTTGCCTCTCCGGGATGGTGTCGTGCAATGGAAGAACTCTCAGCTCTAAATCATAATCATACTTGGGACCTCACCACTCTTCCTCTTGGGAAGCAGGCTGTCGGTTGTAAGTGGGTTTATACTATTAAGTATTTACCTGATGGTAGTGTAGAGTGATTGAAAGCTAGATTGGTTGCAAAAGGGTACTCTCAAACCTATGGTATTAACTACATAGAGACCTTCTCCCCAGTTGCGGTTCGGTTTATGTTGTGGTCTCTCTTGCTGCTATGTATGATTGACCCCTCTATCAGCTTGATATCAGGAATGCTTTATTGCATGGTGATTTGCTCGATGAGGTCTATATGGAGCAACCACTGGGGTTTGTTGCTTAGGGGATGGAAAGGTGTGCAGACTAAAGAAGGCTATTTATGGGCTTAATCAGTCTCCTCGAGCATGGTTTGGTAGGTTTAGTGAGGTTGTAAAGAAATTTGGTATGGAGCAGTGCCAAGTTGATCATTTAGTCTTCAGTCATGACTCTCAGGCAGGAAAAAACCTATTGGTGGTGTATGTAGATGATATTGTTATTATCGGGAATGATAAAATGGGCATTGATAGGTTGAAGACTTTTCTGCAGGAACATTTTCAAACAAATGACCTTAGTAAATTGAAATATTTCTTGAGGATAGAAGTAGTAAGGTCTAAACATGGTATTAATTTGTGTCAGAGGAAATATGTGCTCGATTTGCTGGAGCAAACAGGTTTGTTAGGTGCTAAACCAGGTGAAACACCTATGGAAACAAATACTAAGATGAACAGTGATATGGGTGAAGTGTTTGAAGACCCTAGCAGATACCGGTGACTTGTAGGTAAACTGAACTACCTAACCATTACTCGGCTAGATATTTCATTTGCGGTTAGTGTGGTAAGTCAGTTCATGTAGAAACCTCTGATTCCTCATTGGGATGCGGTTCTAAGAATTGTGGGGTATTTAAAAGGGGTTCCTGGTCGTGGTTTGATATACAAAAGTGGTGGAAAACTTTAAATAGAAGGTTATACTAATGCTGATTGGGTCGGTTCTATGTTTGATAGGAGATCTACCACAAGCTATTGCACTTTTCTTGGGGGTAATCTGGTGACATGGAAAAGTAAGAAGCAAACAGTCGTGGCGAGATGTAGTGCAAAGGCAGAATATAGAGCTATGGCACATAGTGTGGATAAGGAACCTTCTATAGGAGATAGGATATAATATTAACACTCCAATGAAGCCCTATTGTGACAATCAAGTTGTAGCTCATATTTCTTCTAATCCGATGTTTCATGAAAGAACCAAGCATATAGAGGTTGATTGTCACTTTGTGAGAGAAAAGGTGTTGAGTGGAGTGATAGACACTGCATATGTTAACACAGGGAACCAGTGGGCAACCTTATTTACTAAAGGGTTGAGTTGGGGAAGAGTGGACTATATATGTAACAAGCTGGGATTATATGATATATACTCACCAGCTTGAGGAGTAGTGTTAGTGTCGAATATGAAGGGGTATTTCTATCTTTATACTTATGTTGAGGTTGTTGATGTGTAATATTATGTTAGAACTAGTGTCCCTCACTTAAGTAGGGGCACATGTGTCTTTTCTATTATGTTAGTAATATAAAACATATCTGGTCGAATGAGAGAGGTAATTTTTTTCTCATTCGAACCAGACTTTTCTTCTCTCCTTTCCTCCTCCTTTCTCTCTCTCTTTCTTTCTTCTTTCTTCTCTCTTCTTGGCTATTATCAGACTAACAGAACTCAAGGTAGGCCGAATCATAATAGAAGTAAAAGATCTCATGTCTTGTTGTGGAGTCAATCAAAGTTTTCATGTTGGGCAATGGGAACTCATTGTTAGAGCAGGCTTTGTTGAGGTCTTTGAAGTCTATGCTACACCTAAGTATGGTGAAGTATATGTCATCAATGTTTGGGGTTTAAGTTGTGGTTTATAGCGTTTAAAGGGTCTTATACTAACCAGAGCTAGTCATTCTTCTTAACTAGTACCATGTTCGTGAGCCTCTTTAGGTGAGATATTGGTTTATGAACCCAACTTGTACAAGTTTCTCTACTTCCTCATTTATTTTGATTTTAATTTTGATTTTAAGCTTGAAAATTATTGTTCCTTGTTTGATTGGCTTTGCTTTGGGATCTATATGTGTAAGTGATCATGGCAGACTAAAGTGAGGTTTAGCCTCAGAACTTCATAGTATGACTAGGTAAAAACATCAAAAACTATTGGTTCATGAATTTATAAGATTGTGTATGGTGGCTTATTACCTTTGAGTAATGTTATTAGATTTTCTTTCTCCTCCATCTCTAGGTTTTCCGAGATGAATAGTGGTCTTTTCTCGTCTAGGGCATTTAACACATTTATTTCTTCCACCTCCTCTTCCATTGCCTCATTCTCTTTTTACAATTGCTTCAGTGCAACATCAATTTCATCTACGTACTCTAGAGTCTTTGTTTCTGGGTCTACAAGAATTTGTTCCGTTTGCCTATTGATTTTGGTTTTTGGTTTCTATTGCAGTTGTGTTTTGTGCTTGTAATGGAATACCCAATATTGTTGTGTACGATGCATGCTATGTAAACAAAGTAAAGGTAAGGGGAGAAATAAAATACAGTAGCTACTTTTGAATGTTGGTAGGAGATTATTGAAAGGGAGACCATAATATATTAATTATAGTAGCTTAGCTTAGAACTACAAGTAAACTGAATATGGTGATTGTGATAAATAGTGTTATAGTGGCTGTGAGATAAGATTGTTTAAGAAACATTACGTACTACATGAGGCGATGCGTGAGCAAGGCAATTTCCTTTAGGTTATGTTTGGTTTAAAGATAAAGGTTTGCAACGTAGGGAAACCTATACAAGGTTCGCAAAGGTTTTGCTGCATTTTCCTTCATTTTCCTACTTTTTCCTTCAAACCAAACACAGCCTTAGAATTTAATCATTGTCACTTACCTCCCTCTATGTGAGGGGGGAGATGGGATGTTGATGTTGTTGTTGCCTTACCATCCTTTGTTGCACTTCCTCTAGAATGCCCCCCAGAATGGAAGAACTACTACAAGTGTTGGTTTTGACTGAATTTTGCTTCCATAGGTGCTTCTTTTGCATTACTAATAGTACATAGGAAACAAATTCATTGCTCTATACTTATGGTGTAACTAGTGAGTTGATCAATGTCAAAACCAACCAATACCGACTGATACGAACAGAAGGAATGGGTGAACCATTCCACCTGTGAATCATGTTAGTCGCTCTGGATACCACACATCTTGGAATGGATGTATAGTATTGATATTTTAAAACTTGTCCATTAGAACAATTGGGATTCTTTCCTGCAATGTACTCCATCTATGCTCCTTATCGACATTTTTATGGGTCACCATGGACGGAAAAACTTTGGCTGTTGGGGCCCAACAGCCTTTCCTGTTGAGAGAGTTTCTGGGTTGGGCATGTTACAATGAGAGTGGGCAAATTAGTAATTGCCTTCTGATTTATTTTGAGTAAAAACAAAAGCATAGCCGTGAATTGGTGAACTGCCGTGAACATGTCCAACCCAGAAACTCTCTCAACAAGAAAGGCTATTGGCCCCAAACAACCAAAGTTAACCCCACCATGGACAGGCCTGAATGTTAATCACTTGTCCATATTAGCATTATACCCCACCTTGCTTCATTAATGTTTCCTGTGTGATATCAATCAAACCCTTGCTGTGGATATTGAGGGTGTTTGGTTCCGTGGGCATTTATTGAAAAAACATCACCACATCAGCACCACATAGGTATTGGCATTTGTTGCATATGAAACCACTACTTGTTTTCATTATTTATCAAATAAACACTAAGAAACTGAAATGTTTTGATTTATGTGCATAGGGCACTTGGGGAACCATTAAATTCTCGTTTCCCCTAACACCCAAGGTTCTAAATATCGATACAGGCTGATATGCGGTGTTTTTTTGTGTTTTATTGCTTTTTTTTTTCAAAACCGACTCAAGGGTCGGTTTAAGTCCCAGCTACCCCCTAAACCATGAGGGGACATATCGGGTCAGGCCCCGATATGATACATTACATGATACAGGATGATACGTGACAATTTTGACCCTTGCTAAAACCCCAGCATTTCTTAAAACATAACACTGATGTGGCATATTCTATAAGTGTTAATCTGCCATGAAAAGCAAGATACGTTTGAAGTAACACCCAACCAAACAAAAAAACGTTTAAAAGTGTGAAGCAATAAACAAGATTTTACAAATAAAGTTTAAAAGTTTTAAATAAGATTGTACAAATAAACGTTAGAAGCAATAAATGACCCATCTAACAAACCAAACATATACATTATCTTTTCAGAGTACATACGGCTCTATCTATTAACCTGTCATCCACGATTTTAAATTCCTTTTTTTTTTCTAACATACAGAGCGCCCACAAGGGGGGAAAAATACTTGATTTAAAAATGGCATATTAGACTATCAAGCTGAAATCTCAAACATAAAAAGAATAAGTCTCGATTATATATATATATATATATATATATTTCAATTCCTTTTTCCTTTTGTTAGTCCGATGGGTTATTCAAAACTCAAATTGCCAAGGCCTAATCCAGTAAAAATCACAATAATAAAACAAGCTATTGTGCAAGTGCTGTAAGACCCGGATCAGACCAGACGATTGGACCATGAAAACCAGGAACCATTATCAGTAAAATGACGGTTTTCAATAGTTGAACGGGCTAACCACCCGGTTAACTAATAAAACCATGACCCATTGAGCATTCCGGGTTTTAGTAGGGTCATAGTCTTGCAGCATTCAAAACACTGTATTGTGCAATCAATCAATTCAAGCTTAGCAATTAGCCTTTGATCAGTAAGTCTTCTATTCTCTATTTAAAATTTCAAATGTATGGCGTGCCACAAACAAAAGAAATACAAAAATAACTAGAACAAATTCAAAGAGGCCCTCGACTATCAAAAAGACCAAAACTAAAGGAATAGAAATAAACAATCAGAGACCCTTACAGTTGCAAACAGATGTGCTTCTGCATTAGGTTAAACTTGAGCGTTACCACAGTTTTTCCCTTATCAGTCAATATATTGGGGTACCGGAATTTTATCTACCATTAAGACGTAAACCAAGGGAGTGAACTCCACAAATGCCAGTCTATCACAACGAAATACGAAGAGGAAGGGAACTCGTGTCGTCAACAACTGAGAAAGGGTAAGATCTCAGAAGGATAGCAATTCCTAGTTCGACCAACAATGCACCACCAATGTCACATTTTGTTAAGGTTGTCCCGCCTCTCCTTTTGTTGTGGTAACATTCAGCTTTAAATCTGGTCTTCCAAAGGAATCCGAACACAATTAGTGTATAGACTACCAACTCCTGCAAGTTAAATCGAAGACGAGAATAAATTTTCAGTATTAATACTATTAGCCCTATAAAAATTGAACTTTCCACAGAACAGAAAGAGAACGGAAATCCTTCGAGCATTCTGTGCAGTGCAAGTACATATATTAAGGGTTAGGCTATGATGTTGGGAAGACATGATACTGGAAAAATTTGTAACCAATCAACCGGTAAAAGTGGTAATCAATCAGGTGACATGTATCAAACACTTGGGGTTTGAGAGATAACTTTGGCTGTTGGGAGCAACAGCTTATGCTGTTGAGAGCAATTTTAGGGTGGGCACGTTTACCTATTCACGCCCATGTCTTTCATTTTGGTCAAAATATAATAGGAGGCAATTACTAATTTACCCACTCTCAGGGTAACGTGGCATTCCCAGAAATGCTCTCAACAGCATAGGCTGTAGGCCTCGACAGCAAAGTTTTTCTGGGGTTTGATTGGTCAAAGCCGAGTTAACTTTGGCTTTGGGGGGCCAACAGCCTATGCTATTGAGAACATTTTTAGGCTGGACGCGTTCATCAATTCACACCCATATCTATGTTTGTGGTTAAAAAGAAATAAGGGTAATTACTATTTTACCCCACTCTATGGTAATGTAGCATTCCCAAAAACGTTCTCAACAGCATAGGCTGTTGGCCACAACAGCCAAAGTTTTTCCGTCAAAGCCCTTCCCGTATGATGTCTTTCTGGCAGCACACTTTTTTCCATCGAGGAAAACTGCTCCTCAAGTGCAATGCCACATAATATCCCCCTTTTTGTATATTTATAATTGAGGAAATTTCAAATTAAAAATATCAGCAGTACCACCAGTGCAATACATATATCTCAAAAGTTAATTCAAGAATTCATGGAAACATGATCTTAACAGAGTAAGCTATATCCAGGTTTGTGCAAGTACAGTCAACAGAAATTCTATATCAATCCTTGAAAGATGATTGCAAAAACTACTATCTGGTTCATACCCAGTCAACGTTTTGAGAGTCAGTTAAAAATCTGTACCCCTTGGTTTAGGCTATCAAAGCTATCCAACCCACAATTCACTAACTCATGAATTACATGACATTCTTCCCTCCCTGAGATAATCCCCAAGCACATTTGAGATCTGTTGGCCCCTTGTTTAGTTAGCCCTTCTGCTAAACAGTTACTTTCTCTATGAATCCTATGGAATTTTTATTCCAATACCCTGAAAAGATGCCTAGCTTCTCTCATTATATATCTGTACTGCCAAGGCCCCTCACTCCCAGTCCTGAGCTAATTAATAAGTCCTCGAGTCTCCTACCAACCAGCTGAAGTGCTGACAACCATTCAAAACAAAATCCTCTAATAGACAATGATTGTCACATGTTGATTTCATTTGAAGTTGTATTTCCATTTTAATCTAATTTCCAAGTCATGTTGCATCTCTGAAATTTTCCTATCATATTTTAGAGTGTGCACGTCTAAGATTCCAAAAGTGATAGGTGATCCATTTCTACAACTTCAATATATTTCACAAGAAAAGGCATACCTTATTGTTCTGGATGCATCAAAGAATCAATCTCCATGTTAGCCTCCAAGTTCCAGCCTCTGTCATCATAAACATATTAGTTCCATGCTAATAAACTAAATCCAAAAGAAGAAAAGAAGATAGGTGACACAGGTGGGATAAAAGGAAAGGAAGGTGAGATAGGTGGAAAACCTCAAAGTCGATTGGGGTAAGGGTAGGGAGCCAGGAGAGAAGTGCGAGAAAAGGGAATAGGTAGAAAGGATCAGAAGTAGGGATTGTGAGTTTTTGGAGGTAGAATGAAGATTCCAAGTAGGAATGTTAGAGGCCTGGGTAGTGCAAATAAAAGAAGAATTATTAAAGAAATAATGAGGAGAGAAAATTTGGAGGTTTTATTGATACAAGAATCAAAAGTACAGGAACTTGACAGAAGATGGGTGAGAAGCATTTGGGGCGGCAGGAGTATCGGTTGGGCCCAGGCTCCTTCCTGGGGATAGTCACCTTATATTTATGGGCCCAGGCTCCCTCTGGTGGGGATAGTCACCTTATGGAATCAGTGGAATGCTTAGAGGAGTTCATAGGCAAACTCTCTGTCTGTTAATCTGCAAAGTGTGAATGACAATTTTGTGTGGGTCATGACATTTATGGGGCCAATTTGTACAGGGAAAAATATGAACTATGGAAAGAATTGGCAGACATTAAAGGGCTCTGGCAAGGACCTTGGTGTTTGGGAGGGGATTTTAACGTGATTAGAAATACTGAAGAGTCTAAGAATCCAAGACAGAGGATCACCACAAGCATGAAAAAGTTCAATGTTTTTATAAAAACCTTTGGGCTTAAGGAAATTGAGACTAGACAACCTAAGTTCACTTGGTCCAATTGTCAAGAGAACCCCATCTGCTTAAAGTTGGATAGATTTCTTGTTTCCCAAGATCGGGAGGCCCATTGGAGAACTTGATAGGTAGAACTCTGCCTATGCTCACCTTGGATCATTGGCCTATTTTCCCCAGCCAAAAATTAAATGGAGGACCGAGGCCCTTCAGGTTTAGAATATGTGGCTAACTGTCCCGGAGCTTGTACATAAGATTAAAGAGTGGTGGGAGCAGGATAGTCCCCAAGCTGATTAGGAAGGAACCAAATTGAATAAGAAGCTTCAGAATTTGAAAGGAAATCAAGCTTGATAGTCAGATTGAAGTAATTAATAGAAAAGAAGTACAGGGACATATGGAGGTAAGAAATAAGGAGGAGAGGGCAAGAATGAAAAAAAGAGTTAGAAGCCACCTAAATGAGAGAGAAAATGACTTTAGAAACAAAAGTCACGAGAGAGATGAATCAAAGAGGGGGATGGGAATACACATTTCTTTCATACCGTTGCAAATGGAAAGAGAAAAGAACTTCATTTATCTGCTGGTATTGGAGGGTACAGTTATACACTAGGAAGAAATAGCAAAGGCCCTAGTGGATCGTTTTAAATCAAGTTATAGAAAGGACAGGGGTAGAGAAATGGAAATTGGAGGGTGTAAAGTGGCCTTCCCTGGATGGCATACTGAGCAGGGATCTAGAGAGAAGATTTGAATTGGAAGGGATAAAAGAGGCAATTTTTACTATGATCATTCTAAGGCATCTAGATCTGATGGTTTCAATTTGGCTTTCTATCAAGACTGTTGAGAGTGGATAAAAGAGGATGCAATGAAAGTCTTTGAGGAATCCTATCATAGAGGAATCATTAGTAGGGGAGTAAATGCCACTTTCATTGTTCTAATCCCTAAGAAATCTGGTGCCTGTCATCCAAAGGACTTTAGGCTAATCAGTGTAGTAACAAGTCGATATAAAATTTTAGCCAAGGTTCTCTCCCTTTGGTTAAGAAAAGTTCTCCAATCAATTTTCTCTCAGTTTCAAGGAGCTTTCATTCATGAAAGACAAATTTCAGATCAATGATTATCGCAATGAATGTGTGGAGGAATTCAAGAAATCAGGGAGAAAGGGTATTGTTTGCAAGTTAGATTTGGAGAAAGCCTATAATTATGTGGATTGGGAGTTTTTAATTGATGCTTTGAGAAGGTGTAGTTTCCGTGCACAATGGTGCAAATGGATTAGAGGTTCTCTGCAATCTTGTCATTTCTCAGTTGTGATACATGGGGTGTTTAAGGATTTCTTTGGTGCTTCAAGAGGGGTGAGGCAAGAGGATCCCCTTCACCCCTTTCTCTTCACTATCATAGCAGAGGTCTTTAGCAAATTGATTTTGAAAGCTGATGAAGCGGGACTGTTGAGGAGTTGGAGAATAGGAAGAGATAAAGTGGTGGTATCACACCTTCAATTCGCAGATGATATCATTATATTTTGTGAGAGTGATGGTGTGGAAGGGGAATGGGTGGGGGAGTTAGGTTGTCTATGAAGCAAGTGGCCAACTGGCCATTGAAATACTTAGGACTCCCTCTTAGAGCAAACCCTAGATCCCTAGCCTTTTGCAATCCGGTAGTGGAGAGGTTTGAAAAGAAGCTGACAATGTTGAAGAGAACCCTTATTAAGTCGACTCTAGCAAACCTTCCGATCTATTACCTATAGGTATTCTACATGCCTCAAGCAATAGTTAAAAAATTAGAGAAAGTAATGAGGGATTTCTTATGGGAACCGGGTGAGAAGAAGACCAATTCAGAGTGGTCTGAAATTGAACAACGGCTTATGGCCAACCTCCACTCCTCAATTTGGATATCCCTGAGACCTTTAAATGAGTTTCAAGATATAGGCTTTGCAGAGTTTGAGGAACAACTTCGGCATTGCTTCAGCTGGATTCTGTTTGTGTGTATGGCCACGAGGTTAAATTAAGTAGATAGTGGCCTTTGGTTAATTCAGAACAGGAATCCCTACACTTTGATGGTTGGATATCCATTAGTAGGGGTGCAAATGAATCGGATCATGATCTGATCCTATTTTTTCGGATTCAGATATCCCCATTTTGGATCTTTGGATCAGAGCGGATAATAGGATCTGAACAGAAATTGGATCATATTTGAATCAACTCATCACCCCCCATCCGATCCAAGAGGAACCAATCTAATATATTTATGTTATTTATTTATTTATATAAACATATAACACACATATATATGTTAATTTATTTATAAATATGTTATTTATATTGCATTTTTGTAAATTTGTTATATTATTTATTTTTTACAAAAAACATATATATATGAAAATAGTTGAAAGATACTTGTATTTTTTGTTTTTCTTTATTTAAATTGTTATATTTTATTTTCTTTTAACAATTTATTATTTTTTCAAAAAAATTAAATTGGATCTGATCAGATCTGAATATCCGACTTCCTCATCGGATTCGAATTCAAATCAATGTTTGTGAGATCCGATCGGATCTATTGTTCATATTATCAGATCGGATTCGGATATAGCCTTATTCGAATCTGATCCGATCCATTTGAGAACTTCTAGTAACCTACTTCCCAGGATTATTTGAGAACTTCTCAACAAGTTCAGTAAGTCCCTCCTTGCTCCTACAATCCCAGAATCCAGGTAATATTGTTCTGCCTCCTTTCCTCAACCGTAGAGGCAGAGCCAGGAATTTTCTTTTGGGGGGACCAAGTTGAACAAGAAAATGAGATAGGGAGTTGATGAGGTTGGGTTTGGAGAGAAATGGGGTAGAAAGGTTTGGATCTATTACAGATATTTTTAAGAAAAAATAAACAATTTTTTTAAAACTTTAAGAATTCAGGCAGCAGTGATTTGGACACTCTAGGAGGAGAAGAAGCAAGGAAGCTGTGATAGAAAGGATTATGATAAAAGTGGCACATTGGGTTAAATCCTTGAGTGTATTTTCAGATCTCATCTTTGATGATGTAATCAGGAACAATGTTGTCAAAATCTTACAATTGATGAAAGGATTCACAATTTGAATCAAGAATTCCAACGGTTTCGATACGAATCTTATGTTGGAATTATTTTCTACAAAAATCTCCTGATTTTTGTTTGAATTCTATGATTTGATTCATAAATCTTACGATTTCTACGATTCACAACAATTTAAATAATTAAGAATTAGTTCTCTACTTTGTTTTTTCTTTCTTTATATTTAGTTTTGCCAAGTGAGATATTTTTAAAGCCCTTCCTAGAAAATGATTAATTTACGTTATTTAAGATTAGAAATTGAATTTATTTTCTATATATGTAGGTTAAAAAAGCCATTATATGTAGATTTGTTTGATTTTTAAGTCAAACTTGATTACATCATCTTAGGTTTTCTATTATGTAAGTGGTAATTCTATTGTTTTTTTGGTAAATTCTATTGTTTTAAGTACATATATGGTAGATATAGATTAAAAATAGGGTAAAGTCACTTTCCTATATATTTAGCCTTTTAATATATCTATATTTTTTTGACAAGTTTGTAAAAAATAGAAATAATCATACGATTCACAATTTGATTCAACTTTCTCTATGATTTATGATGCAATTACAATTTTCAAAACATTGAACAGGAATTGGGGTACAATTGTGACCTCATCAACCTCTAAAAAGAGTAACTTTAAGGGACTAGGCTCCTCCTGAATTAGGCCTCCTTAAACTAAACTTTGATGGTAGCAGCTTTGGAATCCAAGCCCTTCTGGAATTGGAGGAGTTCCTCAAAATTAAAGTGGGGAAATTGTAGGTATGTTGTCAAGCCATATTGGAACAGGATATTCCACAATGGCAGAATTGAGTGCAGCAATGTTTAAGTTGCAAAAATCAGCACAAATGGGGGTGAGAACGCTGATAGTTGAAGGAGATTCTAAACTAATGATAAGCTGGCTGAAAAAGAATGAAAAAACCCCATGGTACTTCAGAAATGAAATCAAAAAGTGGAGAAGACTGTCGAGGAACATGTGTTTGTCAGTTCAGTGGATCCCAAGAACAGCCAACTGTTTGGCTGATCCATTAGCAAAACAAGGGATTAATAGGGCACAATGTTTCTAGGCTCAGTTGTAAACTTCGAGAACATTTTTCCTGGGTTAGACTGAAATCACAAAAAGGGTAGATGAGGCAACCCAAAAGTTGTAAATTCTTTTCTCTTAATTAATGAAGTTTATATTGCCAATCAAAAAAAAAAAGAACATTAAATGAAACAATATACCACCTCTCTACAGCTTCTCTCTTTAGTTCTTCGATCTGATTTTCAATACTAACACATGCTGCTTGAATCTCTATGTTTTTCTTACAGAGTTCCTTCCATTGTGTAGACAAGGCATTAAGCTCGACTGCAGTGTTTTGCTGTTCACATCCAGAAAATTATTTACTATAAGGGCATACATTACAATGTAAGGAATTGATTATAGGCCTTAAGCCTCCTTACTTGATGATAGTTCCGTTCTCGATTCACAATTTCAATTCTATCTTCATATTGCTGAGTGGTTGCTTTCATCCTGAAAAAGATCACAACATTGGAGGTCAACAAAAACTTAACATGACAAGTGGACAATATGAGAAAGTACAATATTTGAAGTTGCATTAGGAGCTCTGAACATAAAATTGCAATGTGAGTTTTTTGGATGAAAGTGAGTTACAGTTGAAGGAGAATCAAATGGTATAGTGGAAGAGTCAAGACAAAGGGAATCATGTCACATCCAACATGCTCAGAAATATCAATTCAAAAGTTAATTTGCCCCATTTTTGCCATTGACTGTTAATATGGAGTTCATGAAAAGCAAAATATATACATCCTTTGCCTTCTTTTTTCTTCCTTTTTTCTGGATATCCAAAATATTACCACTTATGTCTTAAGCTAATAGGATAAGCATCAGTAATTGCCCTTCCAGTTTGCACCTCTGAAAGTCCGACATATATTTGAATTTTCTATTAACAGTAATCGGACTTATTAGTCGCACAGATAAGTATATACTTCACTCTTTTAACATTTAAAAACCATCATAATGACAAGAATTCCCTTTGTACCCATATTTAAAATGAACAAACAGCAATACCCATCCCAATCAACAACTCAAATATGACAGTTCAATCAGAGTTCAAAGTTCAGACAGACTGTTTAAACATAAAATAAGCTTTTATCCAAATAAGACCTAAGACTTCAGAGATATCAGACTTTGCACTTCTAAATACTACATTAGTAGGGCATAGACGTCTCAACAGTTATCTAATTGTGCTCAAGGTTTTAGTAATTAAGAAAGCTCTAAGGAGGTGACAACTAGCTACGACCATGAGGTGTAAACCCATTATTTCTTGCTAATAAAGAAACCATTGAAGGGGTTAATAAGTAGGTGATTAGTGACAACTCAAATGGGAATTGCTAAGCCACAAAGAAATGTCCAAGTCCATATAAGTAGATGCAAGGTTTAAAATGTCAATGTTGGTGGAAATGTCACTCAAATGAGAACTGTTACCACTTGCTTTTATCCTGCCCCTTTGCTACAGCTATCTGCTTTTGGATTTCTGCACTCTTTGGTTGCAGGTGGTTTTTTCCAACAGAAGTTTCTTAGTTGTTTGAACACTCAGCCCTTGTTCGGCAATCAAAAAGAGGAAGGTTGATGTGGAGGTGTATTAGGGCAGCTTCCCTATGGACAATTTGGGAAGAAAGGAATACTAGAATTTTCTACAATAAGGAGAGAAGCCTTTCAGAGGTCAAGGACTGCATTTTGACAAGGGCAATACACTGGCTGAGAACAACAAATCTGTTCAGTCTTTTTTCTTTTGATGACTTCTGAAGGAACTAGTTAACAGTGGTTAGTAGTTCCTCCTCAAAGAAGAGTTATGGTGAAGTTTGGAACCCTCCTCCTGAGGATTTTGTTAAACTGAACTTTGATGGGAGCATCCAAGATGGTGTAAGATGGTTGACTCCAATGAGGCAATGGTGGTGGTCTGACTCTGAAAGTTCGAAGGAGAACGGTGGTGGGAGAGGTCAATGGTTGCTATATCAGTGATTTTCAGAGAAGAGAGTGAAGGAGGAATGTAGGAGGAAAGAGAAAACCTGGGTTTCTCCCTTCCATAATGGGTTTGTGGACATGGTGACAATGGATTCATTTTCTTAATGGGTCTCTAAATCATGGGTCCCCATATGGGTATGGGGCCCTATTTATAGTGTTTTGGACCTCCATTTTTTAGAATCTTCTTATATTATCTTTTTACCTATTTTGCCCTTGTACTTTCTTTTGGTAATAAAATAAAATTAATTAAGCTTAAATAAGAGAGACAAGAAAGATGACCAGAAGTCACATGAGAGGGAAAAGAAAAGAAAACAATCAAAACCCCAACATCTCAATAAGATCACCAACCAAAAAAACCCAAAATCAAAACCACACTCCCCACCTTGGACCCAGAGACCCAAACCAGAAAAAAAGCAAAAAAAAAAAGAAAAAAACAAACTGACCAGAAAAATCGAGCTCTTCACAACTAGACCTCTTACAACAACACATAGAAAACAACCAAGAAGAAACTCCCTTCACACATCCAAAGAAACAACAAAAAACAGAATATTCTACTTTCACTTTTGACCCTTCTTGTGTTTCAATATTTTTTTTACTTGGTCCAGTCCCAAATAACCCTCCTTTTAGTCTAGAAAAAAACACTTGACACCAGAACTAGATGATGCTTTCTTTGATGTTTGAACCTCCTAACTGCTAGAAAATCCATCATACATTCCAAACAGTCTCTAATCTCGTTAATTCTTTCCAACTCCAGAACCAAATTCTTCTTGAACAAATGATCTTCTTTTTTATCAGAAAGAAAATTGGATTATATTAAAATGATAATCTGGATATTACAATGACAGGGTGTATTCACACATAAAGATTCATTCCAATCCTATCAAAGATACAAGATTTACAATGGTGCCCAAAACAATTGCTGCCTATATACCCCTTGCTTTGCGAGAGTGTCAGCCATTCCATTTGCTGTCCTTCTGATCCACTTGAAAGTTATGTTCAGCTATTGTGTGATGCTCTCAATTTCCCTAAATTCATGCCTATAGATCCATGGCACAAGCTGCTTGCTTTTGGCCCAAGAAATTATCAGCTTTGAGTCTCCCTCTACTTCCAAAGGCTGAGATCTTATTCTTTAGCAATTCTTAACCCTTATAGTAATGTCATTAGTTCAGCCTTTAGTGAATCTCCCAACCCCAGAGGTTCTGAGGAAATACCCAATACTTTTCCTGTGCAATCCCTAAATATCCTCCAATACCAGTCATTCCCGTGCTTCCCATGGAACTACCATCAAAATTTATATTTATTTTATTAGCTGTTGGGGGACACAACTCCATAAACGCCTTTTTCTTTTCTTTGGGTGAAGATGCCACTCCACTTCATTCACTGAGAATTCTTTGAATAGATCAAGTGTCTTTATCCAATGTGCAGTTCTGATTTTTATGGCTTCAAACAATTCCTCTTTTGATCTACTCTTCTCATTGAAAATCCTCCCAAATAGTCCACACTGCTGCAGCCCTAATTGCTTTCCACATAGTTCTTCCTCTCTTCTTTGGTTGCTTTAGGAAACTTGGGCTAAAAAGGCTTGCTACATCCTATGGAGAAGACCACCTGCAACCAAAAAGAGAACAACAGAGGTCCCAAACACACAGCACAAAAAGGCAAGAAAGCAATAAATGAGATAAGAATTCACCACTTGCAAGGCAAAGGAAGCACATGTGAAGCAATAAGATTTTGTTTGACCTTCTTTTTTGAAGTATATCACTAGTGTTTTCCTTTCCACAACAGACTTCCTAACATAGAGCCTGAATTTTAGGTGGGATAGACTTGCTCCAAATCTCTCACATGGAAATTCTCACCCATATTATTGGGCTGCAAGAGAGAATTAAGGAAAGAAGCACAAGTAAAAACCCCATTGGGTGTACTACACCAAACTCTAGTGTCCTCCACTGATTGATCCAGAAAAGTTAGCTGAAGTTTGTCCAACAGTTGATGAGTTGAATAAGTGCCTCACATGCATTATCCCTTGGACCCCTTCTAAAGACAAAACGCCAACTCACCCTTGAAGAAGAGAAGGTGGCAAATCTCGGTATAGGCTGTTGTTTGTAATTAGGCAATGAGAAAAGACTTGGAAAAGCAAATTGAAGGGGGATTTCAGCCAGCCATAGGTCTTCCCAAAACAATATTTCGGTCCCACAACCCACATCATATCTAATGAAATTAATGAAAGTTGGGTATATCTTCTGTATTGATTTCCATGAATGCTTTCAATTACCTTATGCCAAAGTGTGTCACCTTCCAAAGGAAACCTCCATAGACATTTCCCTAAGAGTACAGTATTTCTACAAATTAGGTTCCCTATTCCCAATCCTCCCTGCTCCTTTGGATTACTAACTTGCTCCCACTTAAGGCTGCAACTTGGGTCGGGTTGGCCCGAACCCAATCCTGACCCAACCCGAAAATGTCGGGTTGGGTTGGGTCAGGTTGATGCTCGGGTTAGGGTTAGGGTTGAAACTTATGAACCTGACTTTACTTTGGGTTGGGTTAGGGTTAACCCCGACTCTATAGTACATATCATATATAAATATATTATATATATGATATATCATGTATTGACTTGTTTATATGCATGATAATTGCATAGCCCCATAATCACTTCACTTAATCCTAATTAGAAATACTAAAACCTTAATAACATATTTTATGTTTTTGAATATTTTATTCTTCATCTCTTCTATGTTTTACCACACAGCTTGTTGCCCATAAAAGATCTATTATAAGTCATAACTCATAATAAACTATAGTCATCTCAAACACTTTTTTTTTAAGATATGATATTAAGAAGTTCTACAAGATTATATGGGATGGGAAGAAAGTTGGGCTGGACCAAACCCGAGCCCAACCCAACCCGAAGTTGACTTTGGGTTGGGTTGGGTTGGGTTAGGGTTGAAGGAATTTAGTTAGGGCTAGGGCTAGGGTTGGGTAGGTCGGTTTGAAGGTCAAGTTGGTTAGGGTTAGGATTGGGGGTTTAGAACTTAGGGTTGGGCTAGGGTTGGCCTCAACCCAACCTAACCCGGCCCAACTTGCAGCCCTACTCCCACTTCACCAAATGGTCCCTCTTCTCATCCCCTAGTTTCCAAAGGAAATCCCTCCTAATTTTCTCTAATTGATCCGCCACTTTAATTGGAATTCTAAGGGTGGAAAGGTAGTACATGGGTAGGTTAGCTAAGGCTACCCTAATCAATGTTATCCTCCCTCCCAATAAAATGTAATTCCTTTTTCAATAGTGACAGCCTTTTAGTGAATCTCTCTACACCGGTTTCCAAAAAACCTCTAATCGTGGGTTCCCCCTAATGGAAGCCCAAGATAATCCAAAGGCCAATTCTTTACTCACACCCTAGAATCTTTACCCACACTCTTATTTCTTCATCAAAAAAAAAAACTCAAAGGTAGCTATGAGTTCCTTTAAGTTCATCAAGTCATTTTGATTA